TCTGACCGGTATCGCGCTGAGCACCCTACAGTCACGCGTCTCCTTGCTACTGTTGTCACTGACCCCACCTTTGAGTCCTCGGCTGCGTCTGCTCTGGTCGCTGAGTTGGTTGACTTTGCTGCTGCCTGTCGTCTAGACTACGCTGCTAGCCTTGTCGCTGAGTCAGAGTCTGCGTCTGTCTGTCCTCCGTCCGTCGGGGGTGAGTGTGCTCTTGGCACGGACGTCCTTGAGGACAGGCACGAGGACTTTGACTCTCTTGCGGCTGCTGTACCTCATCTCGTGGCCTGGTTGCTTGCCCCTGAGGGAGACCCGGATGCAGTAGACATCCCCACTCCGCGCACTTACGCAGAGGCGATCTCGGGTCCCTACTCCTCTCAGTGGCAGACAGCCATGGACGCAGAGATGGCATCCTGGAAGTCCACAGGCACCTACGTCGACGAGGTTCCCCCTCCTGGGGCGAACATCGTCGATGGCATGTGGATTTTCAGGGTGAAGCGGCCGCCAGGTTCTCCGCCTGTCTTCAAGGCTCGTTACGTTGCTAGAGGCTTCAGTCAGCGTCAGGGGGTCGACTTCTTCCAGACCTTCTCCCCCACCCCGAAGATGACCACTCTTCGGGTTCTGCTGCACGTTGCTGCTCAGCGTGACTACGAGCTTCACTCTCTTGACTTCAGCACAGCGTTCCTGCAGGGCAGCCTGCACGAGGAGATCTGGCTGCGCCGCCCACCTGGCTTTACTGGGTCGTTTCCCCCTGGTACCCAGTGGAGTCTCCGCCGGCCAGTCTACGGTCTCCGCCAGGCGCCACGTGAGTGGCACGACACACTGAGGACTACTCTTGCGGCTCTTGGGTTCGCGCCGTCTACTGCTGACCCGTCGCTGTTTCTGCGCACAGACACGTCGCTGCCGCCGTTCTACATCCTCGTGTACGTCGACGACTTGGTCTTTGCTACTGCTGACACTGAGGCACTCGCTCGTGTGAAGTCGGAGCTGCAGAAGAGACACACCTGCACTGACCTGGGTGAACTGCGTAGCTACCTTGGCTTGCAGATCACCCGGGACAGAGCTCGCCGCACCATCACCCTGACTCAGTCACACATGGTGCAGCAGGTCCTTCAGCGCTTCGGCTTCCAGTTCTCCTCACCACAGGCCACACCTCTGGCTACCAGCCACTCGCTCTCAGCTCCACCTTCGGACGAGTCCGTAGAGCCGAGTGGCCCGTACCCAGAGCTTGTAGGCTGCCTCATGTACCTGATGACTTGCACGCGACCTGACCTCGCGTACCCTCTTAGCATCCTTGCTCGTTACGTTGCGCCTGGGAGACACAGGCGAGAGCACTGGGAGGCTGCTAAGAGGGTGCTGCGTTACCTGTGCAGTACATCAGGCATGGGGCTGGTGCTTGGAGGACGCGACAGAGTTGTCCTCACTGGTCACTCGGACGCCTCTTGGGTGGACGACCTGGCTACGCAGCGGTCGTCACAGAGTTACACCTTCAGCCTTGGCTCAGGTTCTGTCTCGTGGCGGTCCACCCGCTCTTCCTCTATTCTCGGCTCTAGTTGTGAGGCTGAGATCTACGCCACAGCCATGGCTGCTCAGGAGTTACGCTGGCTCACCTACCTGTTGACTGACTTGGGAGAGCGGCCTAGTTCTCCTCCAGTTCTGTACGGTGACAACAAGGCGGCTCTTGCCTTGTGTCAGGAGCACAGACTGGAGCACAGGACGAAGCACATTGCTCTTCGCTACTTTCTTGCTCGAGAGCTTCAGCAGCGCGGTCAGCTTCGGCTTGTGTACGTGGACTCGAAGGCCAACACTGCTGATATCTTCACCAAGGCGCTCCCGCCTAGTGATCATCAGCGGCACTGTACTTCTTTAGGCCTTGTGTCCACGTTTCCTCACTTGCTCACTGCTTGACATTCTTTGTACTGTACTTTATATATATCTTGTTGCTTGCTTGCTAGGTTTTGATCACTGTGTTGCTTGTCTTGTACTATATCTAGCACTGCATGTGAACTGGCCTTGTGGCCTTTACTTGTGCTCGGAGTGTGGTGACGTTGTGATCCACCCTGGGCTTTGTTTTGCTTTGCTGGACTGGTCTTGTGACCCTTTGTTCTCCCCCACTTTGCCTATGGGGGTGTGTTAAACTGTATTATGCTTGTAGGCTGTAGTGGGGTAGCCAATATGGGGTACAACTCCAACTAGGGTTTCATATTTGTACCCAAACTTCTGTTAGTTCATCCATTCTTGCCTAGTGATTCTGACATGCGCCGCGTGCTCCCCGGCCTCTCCGTCCTCTCCCAATCCCTCGTCGTCCACGGCGGCTGCTGCCGCGTCCTACGCGGATTCCCCGCGGAGCTCTTCCTCCTGCTTGCCCCGATTGAGTCGTAGGGTCGACATCGATTTCAGTTGGGCGGCGCGCTGGCGTCGGTGGCGGTTGCGTCTGGGGTAATGGACCCCTCCGCGGGGCGCGATCCTAAGCTCGAGGGTTCTGCGGAGAGCGCACAGCAGGAGCCGGCGCCTGCTGGTCATCGTCCGCACGCCTCTGCGCGCCCCTCCGCAAGTGAGCCCGTCCGCCGCTTCGATCGGGGGCTGACTCTTCCCTTCGGCCGGCTCCGCGACCCACCTCGCCGGAGTACTCGTGGGCTCCTGCGCGTGTTGCGTCGAACCGTCCTGCTGGCCAGCCGCGCCCGGAGGAGCAGGGGCGTTCGCCGCCGCGTCAGCCGCCGCGGCCGCAATCTCCCCGCCGCCCGTCTCCTGACCGCCGCGAGCTTCATCGACGCGAGGAGGGCGGTCAGTATTCCCCGCAGCGACCTCGGTCCCCTCGGCATCCGTCACCTCGTGGTCGAGCAGCCCAGCGCTCACCGCGAACGCGATCCCCCGCTCAACATTCTCCGCGGCCGACTCCGGCGAGGCGGGGCCGGGGGTCGCCTGGGCGTCGCTGGGATTCCGGTCGCCGCGAACCGTCTCCGCCGCGTCCGCAATCTGCTGGGTCCGGCGGCCGTCGGGGTCGGCGGAATGGCTCGAGCCGTGGCGGAAACAGTCCCCGCGTCGGGTACTGTCCAAGACGCGATCCGGCTCTTGATTGGGCCGTGAATGTCGTGGCAGCGGCGGTGCGGCAGGCGCAGGCGGGTGGAGAGCGTGCTCACATGCACATTGCGGTGACCAACGGTCCTCCTCTCGAGTCAGACCCTGGCCAGGCGGCCCCTCTGCGCGCCCCGACGCTGCGCGAGTATCTGCCCGCGCGGGAGGGGAGGGCTCAGTTCCGCCACCCGCGTCCGGTCCCGCCGTTCTTCTCTCTGCGCTTCTCTGTTGGCCGGGCTCCTGGCTGGCCGTCGTCGCTTCCACGCGAAGGCCCAATTGCACCTCCCCCCACTCGCGCGGGGAGAGACCCCACGCTGACCCTGTGCAGGATTCTGAATTTGGTGGAGGCGTGCGAGGTGGTGGCGAATCTGCAGCTGGCGGTGTGTGGGGCCACGCGGAGTTTTCCGGGCAGTTACGGTCCAGGATCCCGAGGATCCTGCGTGTCTTTGGCAGAATCGCTCGAGTCGCCGTTGGCACCCGTGTTGGATGCGCCCGCCGGGGTAGCGCCCTTAGCGCGTACCTTTCCCGCCACGTGGGGGATCTAGTTGGGGCTGCTCAAGCCGGGACCCCGGTGGAGACGCTTCAAGCGTCGGCGCATCTTCTTCTTTCGATGTCGGCGTGCATGCGCTCGATGCTTGAGGCTGAGGGGGCGGAGCCGTACACGATGTAGCCCTTCGCCTCGTGTAGAACTGCATGTTGATGCTCGTTGATCCCCTTTGATTGATTGTCGTTGTGCGCTCCTTGTAGTCGTGTCTTGCTTAAGAGCCTTGCCACCCGAAACGCGCGGCCGAAGGCCGCGCTTGCGAGCGGCGGCGGCCGAAGGCTGCCGGCGCGAGCCGCCGAAAATGAAACCACGACGAAATAATGAAGAGAAGCCAGCACAAGCAGCCCTTAAATAGGCCGGGAGGGCAGAGGGCAGAGGGTTGAGCAGAGGGCAGAGGGCTAAGGTGTCCTCTCTCTCTCTCCTCTCTCTCTCTCTCTCGCCTCTCTCTCTCTCCTCGCTCTCCCTCTCTCTCTCGCTCCTCGCCTCTCTCTCTCTCTCTCTCTCTCTCTCTCTCTCCTCTCTCTCTCTCTCTCTCTCTCTCTCTCTCTCCTCTCTCTCTCTCTCTCTCTCTCTCTCTCGCTCTCTCTCTCTCTCTCTCTCTCTCTCCTCTCTCTCTCTCTCTCTCTCTCTCTCTCTCTCTCTCTCTCTCTCTCTCTCTCTCTCCCTCTCTCTCTCTCTCTCTCTCTCTCTCCCTCTCTCTCTCCTCTCCCTGCGTGTGTGCAGGCGGCCAAGAGGCAGTATGAGAAGGATGTGGCGGAGCAAAGGCGGCAGCAGCACCAGCAGCAGCAGGGGTCGGAATTGCAGCAGCACAGAGCAGCAGTGGCTGCTGCCGTTGCTGCTGTCGACGCCGCTCTCCTCCTGCTGCTGCTGCTGCTGCTGGTGGTGGTGGGGAATCGGCAGGAGAGCCGACCATCCCCCCTCCACCCCCTCCCCCTCAATCCAAAAATGTTGCCGCGGATGGTATGTGAAAAAGGATAAATAATGCCCTCTCGCTTCTCCACCTCTCGCTTCTCCACCTCTCGCTTCCCACTACCTACATCCATCTCGTGTACATTGGTGCTTCATGTTCATGTTCATGTTCATGTTCATGTTCATGTTATTGCTCATGTTCTTGTTCATGTTCTTGTTCTATTGGTGACTTTTGAGTCAACTCATAAGCCTCTTCATGTTCTTGTTCTATTGGGTATCTCGCTGCCCTTCCTTTCTGCTACCTCTCCGCGCACTTCCTGCTCCTGCGTCATTCATCTCGCCTCCGCCTCTTCCCCCACTCACTCTACTCCCTTCTCACTCGATTTGTTCTTCCTCCCATCACTGCTCCGTCCATCAGAGTGGGTATTGGAGGAGAGCAGTGGGTATCACTACAGCCACCGCTCGGGTTACTTCTATGATTCCAAATCAGGGCTCTACTATTCAGACACCATTGGTGCGTGCGTGCTGCCCTGCCCTGCCCTGCCCTGCCCTGCCATGCCATGCCATGCCATGCCATGCCATGCCATGCCATGCCATGCCATGCCATGCCATGCCATGCCATGCCCTGCCCTGCCATGCAGCCATGCTCCCATGCCTTGCCCCATTATGCCTGACCCACCCTGTCCCCCCTTTATCACCACACTCGTTTCACCTCATTTCACTTTCTCCCCCTCTCCCCCATCCCCGTCCCGCTGTAACACAGCCCGCTGGTGCAGCCATCAGGAGGTATCCTCCCTCTCAGCAGCCTCCCCCAGAAAGCCCTCCCCAGGTGCCGCCTCCTCCCAACAACCCACCACAGCCGGCACCACAGCTGCCCGAAAAAATCCTGCCGGGGCAGGCGGGCCTGCCCCAGGCCCCGTTCGGGCAGGCGCCGGGAAAGCTGTGGGAGGGAAGGCGGTGGTGAAAGGGGTGGCTTCGTCTGTTGCGTGTGATCCGAATGCGAGGAAGCGGGGAAGGAAGATGAGCGAGGAGGAAGAAAAGGCTCTCGCTGCAAGGGAGGCTGCGAGGAGGAGAACACAGGAGCGCGAGAAGAAGAGCCTTGGCTTGTACTCCTCTTATTGATATTTGATGTCAATGCTCTGTTGACATGAAGTGTTGATTGCTGTAACTATGCCCGCTCGTGTTGAGGTGTCTAGTTCTTGTGTTCTAGACATCATTTTCTAGTACCGTATTCTCCCGGATATAAGACCCCCCGGAATACAGGACCCCCGGGTCTGTAATACGGGGGTGGGTCTTTTATTTTGGCAGGTTTCCACTATACCCCCCTCTAGAGGGGTAAACATTACAAGACCCTCCCCAAACGTGTACACAACTGTTTTTTCTGAATTTTGACGCATTTTCATGTGTTTTTCTATCATGATAAGGGTGTGAACACAGATCCAGGCCCATCAAACCCACACAAGGTTGACTGTTCATGAAAAAAAAAGTAGCAAACGTAGGGAAAAACAATAGCCATTTTTCAATGTTATGACCATAGCTAGATTTGAATGAGAAAGCCACAACCAGTTTTTTTTGGGTTGCGGAGCAACCTATTACAATCGTTATGTTCAATTTTTTTTTCAATCATCTATAAAATCGAATGAAGAAAATCTAATAAATAGTAGCTAAGTGACGGACTCCTACCGTATGTATTTTTGTCATGGCAATTTAGCATGTGCCGTAGCTCATTTCCTAGCTTTCCTTGAACTTGGGTTGGGTTACCTAATGTGAACGCTTAATTGTGTATTCCGTAATGCATACGCCGGATTATATTATGCATAGATGAATTATATGGATGGATAAATATAATGCATAAATATAATGGATATGTGACTGGTGGAATATTATATATTTCAGTATAAATCGACCGGTACTGTATATATATCATGAATGTATTGTTAAAAGAACTAGGCAAGAATGATTGAAAGGAGAGGGGTTTCACTAGCAGCAGTTGGGGTACATATAGCAAACCCTAACTGGGTTGTACTCGCTATAGAGCACCCCACTACAGGCTAGACAATAATAACATTCTGACACACCCCCATAGCCAAAGTGGGGTGTAATCAGTACAATGAGCAGGCATAGCAATAGTTCACAATTATAAGCAAAGCTAGAGGTGATCATAGAGGGCAAGTGAGGAGGAGGAGAAACTGTGAGGGCGAGAAGATGAAAGGCGCCGACTGAAGCTGCAGACACACGGGCAACAGGAGCGGCGCGCACAGTGGCTACCGAGCGCACGAGGGCACCGGACTACGGGAGTATCTGGCTCCGCGGCTACGACGAGCACACACAGGAGCAACGGACCCACAGGCGACTGGCGAAGCAGGCTCGCTGGGCTACCGAAACGCGCGAGGGCATCCGGACTACTGGCGCTGCTGGCGTCACGACGGCTACCTCCACGCAACCTCCCCCGACCGTCCCACGCCCCTCTCACACACCCCCTGCTGACACCCTAGCTCCACTTCCACGGCACCCCCCTTAAACCCTAAACCCTCGGCTCCCACACACCCACCCCCCTCAGCGGCAGCTGCAGCAGTGGGAGACGGAGGAGGAGGAGGAGCCGCAGGTTACCCACACCGGTCACCCCCATGCCCGCCACCCCCAAACCCTAACGCAGGCAGGAGCACGGGAAACAGCAGGGGCGGGGCACGGAGGGGAAGGGAGGCAGCGGGGTGGCTCTTGGGCGCCACGAAGAAGCAGGGCGCGGGCCCCCCGAGGGCGCCACGGCGGGTGACGGGAGGGGGGCCGCGCACGGGCCCCCGAGGGCGGCTCGACGGGCGACGGGAGGGGCCGCGCGCGGGCCCCCTAGGCGCCGCGACGAGGCGACGGGAGGGGGCGGCGCGCGGGCCCCCAAGGTGCCGCGACGAGGCGACGGGAGGGGGCGGCGCGCGGGCCCCCAAGGTGCCGCGACGAGGCGACGGGAGGGGGGGGACGCGCGGGCCCCCAGGGCGCCGCGACGAGGCGACGGGAGGAGGACGACGGGGGGCAGCGCGCAGGTCCTCGGGGGCGCCACGACGGGCAGGAAACCGCCGCGCGCCTCGGGGCGCACGGCGGGCAGAAAACCGCCGTACGCCCTGAGCGCACGGCGGGATGAAAAACCCTAAAATTTTTTTAGGAAGAAGACGGCGCGCGCCCGAGGCGTGCGAGAAGCAGAATAGCAGCGGAAGCAGTTAGGTGGCGGGCCCACCCACAGGATCGACCCAAGGGGGTCGACCTGCTCTGATAGCATGTTAAAAGAACTAGGCAAGAATGATTGAAAGGAGAGGGGTTTCACTAGCAGCAGTTGGGGTACATATAGCAAACCCTAACTGGGTTGTACTCGCTATAGAGCACCCCACTACAGGCTAGACAATAATAACATTCTGACATGTATAAGCATGATGAATTTACGTAATAGTTAATTGACCCAGGCTCTATGCTACCGCGTCCCCTGCCTAGCATGGGGGGGAGGTCAATAGCATAGTTCCTGAATCATCCAACTGTTACATGAAACAACACAATCTGTGTTAACTAAAAAAATGATCAAAATTTGTCAAATCCAGTTCAAGTGAACACACTCACTGAGTGGGCAAAGAACCTTCTCGGAATTGATAGTTTGACCATTTTTTAAAAACACACAGATATGCATTGTTAATGCAATGATATACGCATATGGATGAATATACACACACATACACACACAGAGAGACATACATACAAACACACACATATGCACACGCAAAAACTGAGACAAGTAAATAAAAATGCAGGAAAAATCTACCAAAGCAATACAATACCATCAATCATACAAATCAAGAACGATACCATTCTACTTTCTATATTGGTCTTGGCTTCCCAATGGTACAGCAAAGCCTCTGGCGATAGGATATAATAGAAAGGGAAGAAAGCATGGAATAAACAGGAGGCGAGCAATGAAAAGAGGGGGAAGGAAAGAATATGGGGGGAAGAAAGCATGAGAGAAACAGGAGGCGAGGAATGACAATGAGTGAAACAAGGAGAGAAAAAGATTAGGAAAAAAGACAGATAAAGGGGGTACGACAAGGTATGCTTCAAACAAAAGCAGAAAACAACAATCAGAAAACATTAAGCCCTAAAAAATGCAAAAACAGAAGTAGGAACCGAAAGCAAATACCAGAGGCAGGAAAGGGAAGCCAATAATAGCAGCAAGCAGAAATAAGGCCTAGCTAGGTCGACTTGACCTACGTGCCCTGATTCGCCTAGCAAACTAAATCAAAATCGTTTCCATCTTAATAAGAGTGGGAAGATAAGGAGGAAAGAAAGAACAAAGTAAAGAAACGTAGGCGAAAGGAGAACAGAAAATATCATGCGACAGAAAAAGGCGAAATACAATAGAATCCAGTATGAAGCAATAAGACACTTTCTAAATCTCTAACACCAATGACAGCGAAGTCAACAGAAACACACGTAACAATAAAGAGTAAGGAGATGTTGAAGAAAAAAAAAGAGGGAAAGAGAGATTACAGGTAAGGTCTTACAATGTTTCAGTGGACTTAATATGAATGTTGCAACCACAATCTCAGGACCTGCGAAGAAAAAAGAAGGCAACGAAGTTGAAAGATATAAGATGCAATAAATAAAGACACATCGGCTCAAAACTAATCAGAGCTCTATAAAAGGACAATCCCTTTCAACTTGATCTACCTCATACGTAAAAATAAACAACTTCGTCCTCACAAGCAGCTGAGATGGTACATATGCATCCTTCCGCGGATTGCATTGGAAAAAAAATGAATAAGTCATAGCAACTATGTCAAAATGGCATGCTTTTTAAAAACGACATAGCAGGCAGCCGTATAGGGGCTTCTACCTTAACATCTGACTTAGAAGCAAGAATAGGCTGCTGTTAATGAACGACCTAACAACTAGATCGACGTGAGAACGGAACAAAATAACTGAAAGCTTACAAGCACCTAACTGAGTTATAGAAGGCAGTTTAGTATTCTAACCTGAGTGGTAGGTGGTGCATGACTGGCAGAAGGAAGCTCAACTAGACTCCAAGGGTGATGGCGACAGAAAGGCGAGAGAAAAAAGAAAGGAGACCATCCCTAGAGTAGTGCACAAAATCGCCGCAAAAAAAACACGTAAAAAATTAAAACATTCTCTCGACATTACGCGTTGTTTAGCCTAGTTCGTAAGAAGTTACTAAGGAATCTAAAGCTCTCGGTTTCGAAACCCAATGTCGACGTTTTTACAGACCAAAGTTCAATATAAGAGTATAGAAAGTTATAGCAATACAACAATTACACCAACCATACCCAATAATTATATAATACCCAAAAAAATGCACTCAGATCATTACGCTCCGCAACCCTAAGACGATTTAGTCGGCTCTTTTTTTTTTTTTTTTTTTTTTTTCATTCGGACTCGGACTACCGGGCCAGTCTTTCTTTGCCAGAATACCGTCTCCATCAAGTAATATCGCGTATGGATAGAAAGAGGAAAAGGGAAAGAGGGAGAAGGAAAAGGGAAAGAAAGACACCAGAAACAACTCAAACGCAACACCCATAAAAAGCCCCATAAAAATACTCCATAAAAAAAAAAAAAAAAAACAAGAGGCGACAAAATCGGCTTAGGGTTGCGAAGCAACAAGTGTAACTTTCTAAAAGTTTTTTTAATGAAGTTGATCACATCGTCATATTTAAATTGTCAGAATATTATGCTCTAGCCTGTAGTGGGGTGCTCTGTAGCGAGTACAACCCTTCTAGGGTTTGCTATTTGTATCCCCATTCTTGCTAGTGCAACCCTCCTCTTTCGCCTAAACTCTCTTGCCTAGCTAGGACTCTCCTAGCTATGGCTCCTAAGTCTATCGCTTATCTTGACATGCTATCAGAGCAGGTCGACCCCCTTGGGTCGATCCTGTGGGTGGGCCCACCACCAAATCCTTCCGCTGTTGTTCTACTGGTCGCGCGACGCCCGCGGCGAAATTTTGTTTTAAGGTTTTCATCCCGCCGTACGCTCGGGGCGTGCGGCGGTTTTCTGCCTACCGTGCGCCCCGAGGCGCGCGGCGGTTTCCCACCGTCGAAGTGCCCCCCGTCGCCCGTCGAAGCGCCCCCCGTCGCCCGTCGAAGCGCCCCCGTCGCCCGTCGGAGCGCCCCCCGTCGCCCGTCGAAACGCCCCCGTCGCCCGTCGAAGCGCCCCTGGGACCCGCGCGCGGCCCGTACGGGCTGCGCCAGGCCCGCGCGCGGCCCGTACGGGCTGCGCCAGGCCCGCGCGCGGCCCGGGCAGCCCGCGCGCGCCTCGTCCGGCCTGCGGCAGGCCCGTGCGCGCGCCTCGTCCGTCCCCCGAGCTTCTGCCGGCGCCCCACCCCCGCTACTGCCCGCGTTCCTGTGTTAGGGTTTGGGGGTGGAGGGTATGGGGGTGCCGTGTGTGTGCGCCATCCCCTGCTCCTCCTCCTCCTCCGTCTCCCACTGCTGCAGCTGCTGCTCAGGGGGGTGGGTGTGTGGGAGCCGAGGGTTTAGGGTTTAAGGGGGGTGCCATGGGAGTGGAGCTAGGGTTTCAGCAGGGGGTGTGTGTCGAGGGGTGTGGGACTGTTGGGGGAGGTTGAGGGGAGGTTGCCGTCGTGTCGTACGCAGCGCCTGTACTCCGGGGCACTCACTCCCGGTAGCTCAGAGAGCCGGTTGCGCCGTCGCCTGTGGGTCCGTTGCTCCTGCTGCTCGTCTTAGCCGCGGAGCCTGTTACTCCTGTACTCCGGGGCACTCACTCCCGGTAGCCACTGTGTCGCACCAGAGCCGTCTGTTGCCCGTGTGCCTGCAGCTTCAGTCGTCGCCTCCCATCTACTCTCCTCTCGCCAGCCCTCCTCCTCCTCACTTGCCCGTTGTGACTACCACTAGCTTTGCTCATAATTGTGAACTTTAAACTATTGCTTCTTAAACTTGTGCTCAGAATGTGTGGTGACATTGTGATCCACCCTGAGCTTGTACTGCTTTGCTTGCTCTGCTGATTACACCCCACTTTGGCTATTGTCAGAATCCCAGTCACTAACCACTGGGATAAAAGGGCTTGTTTATATAGCGGGTGAGTGCGCCCATAACCCCCCAGGCCGACGTGCCTGTAACCCTTCCCTAGGATCATCGGGGATCTCCAGTGGACCTCTGACACCCCCCCGCACTGGGATGCCCGAAGTGCACACACCGGGAATCGAACCCGAGACCTTCGCTCTGATAACATGTCAGAATCCCAGTCACTAACCACTGGGATAAAAGGGCTTGTTTATATAGCGGGTGAGTGCGCCCATAACCCCCCAGGCCGACGTGCCTGTAACCCTTCCCTAGGATCATCGGGGATCCCCAGTGGACCTCTGACACCCCCCCGCACTGGGATGCCCGAAGTGCACACACCGGGAATCGAACCCGAGACCTTCGCTCTGATACCATGTCAGAATCCCAGCCACTAACCACTGGGATAAAAGGGCTTGTTTATATAGCGGGTGAGTGCGCCCATAACCCCCCAGGCCGACGTGCCTGTAACCCTTCCCTAGGATCATCGGGGATCTCCAGTGGACCTCTGACACCCCCCCGCACTGGGATGCCCGAAGTGCACACACCGGGAATCGAACCCGAGACCTTCGCTCTGATAACATGTCAGAATCCCAGTCACTAACCACTGGGATAAAAGGGCTTGTTTATATAGCGGGTGAGTGCGCCCATAACCCCCCAGGCCGACGTGCCTGTAACCCTTCCCTAGGATCATCGGGGATCCCCAGTGGACCTCTGACACCCCCCCGCACTGGGATGCCCGAAGTGCACACACCGGGAATCGAACCCGAGACCTTCGCTCTGATACCATGTCAGAATCCCAGCCACTAACCACTGGGATAAAAGGGCTTGTTTATATAGCGGGTGAGTGCGCCCATAACCCCCCAGGCCGACGTGCCTGTAACCCTTCCCTAGGATCATCGGGGATCTCCAGTGGACCTCTGACAGCTATGGGGGTGTGTCAGAATATTATGCTCTAGCCTGTAGTGGGGTGCTCTGTAGCGAGTACAACCCTTCTAGGGTTTGCTATTTGTATCCCCATTCTTGCTAGTGCAACCCTCCTCTTTCGCCTAAACTCTCTTGCCTAGCTAGGACTCTCCTAGCTATGGCTCCTAAGTCTATCGCTTATCTTGACATAAATTAGGAATATCTGTGCATTCTTTACCGGTATGTTCTTATGTGAATGTTGAGTTGAAGCTGTTAAACTGTGTTATGTTGGTAGGCTGTAGTGGGGTAGCCAGTATGGGGTACAACCCCAACTAGGGTTTGCTACTTGTACCCAATTCTTCCATTCAATGACACATTCTTGCTTAGTCCTGTTGACATGGTATTCAGAGCAGGAGGTCCCTAGGACCTATCGACCGTTTCTTTTAAGGGCCCACCACCGCTCGCATGCGGTTACCACGCTACCCCGTGCCCTAGCCTCGTAGCGCCCTCGTGCGTCCTCGTTAGCGCCCTCGCGCGCCCTCGTTAGCGCCCTCGCGCGCCCTCGTTAGCGCCCTCGCGCGCCCCTCGTTAGCGCCCTCGCGCGCCCTCGCTAGCGCCCTCGAGCGCCCCTCGTTAGCGCCCTCGCGCGCCCCTCGCAGCGTCGCCCGCCCGCTGAGCCGCGTCGCCCCGCTGCCCGCTTCGCAGCCCGCCCGCCCGCTCGCTGCCCGCTTCGCGGCCCGCCCGCTTCGCTGCCCGCTCGCAGCGTCGCCCGCCCGCCCGCTGCCCGCTTCGCAGCGTCGCCCGCCCGCTTGCTGCCCGCTCGCAGCGTCGCCCGCCCGCCCGCTGCCCGCTTCGCAGCGTCGCCCGCTCGCTCGCTGCCCGCTCGCAGCGTCGCCCGCCCGCCCGCTGCCCGCTCGCAGCGTCGCCCTCCCGCCTCGCTGCCCGCTTGCAGCGTCGCCCGCCCGCCCGCTGCCCGCTTGCAGCGTCGCCCGCCCGCCCGCTGCCCGCTTCGCAGCCGCCCGCCGCGCTGCCTGCTCGCCTGCGCGCCGACCTTCCCACCGAGTTCTGCGCTAAGAACCCCCCTCCCCTGTACTGGGCACTCCACTTCATAGTCACCCGTCTCCCTGACACCCTCAGCTCAGTGCGCGACTATTTCCTTGCTCGCTGTCCCACTGAGCTCACTGTCGCCCTCCTAGAGGAGAAGCTGCTAGCAGCCGAGAAGAGCATTGTAGCTGTAGGTGCTGCTCGCGGCGCTCCTCGCACCCCCATCTTTGAGGGGTGCTCTCCCTCTCCCCTCGCTCCCTCCTATGCTACTGCTGCTGCTGTTGACTTCCTTGGTGCTGAGTCTGCTGGCGCTGCTTCTGCTCCTGGTGGGAGGCGCCGCACCGGCAAGGGCAAGGGGGGCAAGGGTGGCGGGGGTGGCGCTGGGGGGGGAGGGGGTGGGGGAGGTGGGGGGGGAGGCGGTGCTGGAGGGAGCGGTGGCGGGAGTGCCGGTGGGAGTGGGGCCGGCGGCGGAGGCGGGGGCGGCGGCGGGAGCAGTGGCGGTGGTGGCAGCGGCGGCAGTGGCGGCGGTGGCGGTAGTGGCGGTGGCGGTGGCGGTGGTGGCGGTCGGAGCGGAGGTAGTGGCGGCGGTGGAGGTCGGAGTGGAGGCACCGGCTCGGGCCAGAGCTCCCAGCAGCAGCAGCGTCCCCAGTCGACCCAGCAGCTTCGTGAGTGGCTTGCTCAGCGTGGGACGTCGGGGGGCAGTGGCCGCTGTTCCTATGTCATTCGCACAGGTGATCGCAAGGGGCAGACGTGTGGAAAGTTCCACACTCAGTACCGCTGCTTCTTCCGCCTTGACGACGCTTGGCGTGAGGAGATGGGCGAGGATGTTGAGCGCCCTCGCTGGGCTGAGCTGATGAGGGCTGGTGTTGATATCTTTGCTCTTGACTATGATGCTATTATTGCTGCCATGTATGCATTGACTGTTAGTGCCGAGGGAGACTGTTACTTGTGTGTGCCGCCTGACCCAGGTATAGGGCCCGCTGCCCTAGGTACTAGTGAGTCTGCTCTCTCTGGTATGGTGCCCCCTGTACCTGCTCCCTCCAGCACTGTCCCTGCTGCTTGCGAGTCTGCTCTCTCAGGTACAGCACCCACAGAGACTGCTCTCTCAGGTACTGCACCGGCTGAGACCTGTCACACCTTCACCCTTGACTCAGGTGCTTCCCGCTGCTTCTTTCGAGACAGTACTGAGCTCACACCGCTTCCTGCACCGGTCCCAGTCTCCTTGGCTGACCCCTCTGGGGGCCCAGTCCTTGCCCAGTCCACCACTGTGCTCCCTTGTCCGGCGGTTCCGTCTGGCTCGTTGACGGGTTTCCACCTCCCCTCGTTCTCGACGAACCTGGTGAGCAACGCTGTCATCCAGGATCAGTGGGTTGACACCTTTACCCCTGGAGGACAGCGTGTGGCGATCTGCACGTGCTCCAGGACCGGCCGTCACCTGGCTACGTTTACTCGTCGGCCGGGGTCGAGTCTCTACACACTGACCACTGCGTCTCCTCAGGTCGCTGCTGTCGGTCAGGTGTCCGCGTCAGGTCTGGTGGCCCACGCCTGTGAGTGTCATTCCCTGTCGCACCAGACTCTTCTCTGGCACCACCGCCTGGGTCACCCCTCCTTGCCACGCCTCCATGGCATGCACCGTCGCCGCCTTGTGTCTGGTCTTCCCAGGTCCCTCCCTCCCCTCCCTGCCTTGCCTGCGCCGCCTTGCCTTCCTTGCGTCGAGGGGCGGCAGCGCGCCGCTCCTCACTCCTCCTCGTTCCCCCCGACAGGGGCTCCTCTGCAGACCCTCCACCTGGACGTGTGGGGCCCAGCCCGCGTTCGTGGCCAGGGCGGTGAGCGGTATTTTTTGCTGGTTGTCGACGACTACTCGCGTTACACCACGGTCTTCCCCTTGCGCACCAAGGGTGAGGTCCCTGCTGTTCTGATCCCTTGGATCCGCACAGTTCGTCTCCAGCTCCGCCGCCGTTTCCGGACAGATCTTCCTGTCCTGCGTCTGCACTCTGACAGAGGTGGTGAGTTTTCCTCCGACCTCTTGAGGACCTTCTGTCAGGCGGAGGGCATCGAGCAGACCTTCACGCTTCCGGACTCCCCACAGCAGAATGGGGTTGCTGAGCGCCGCATTGGCCTGGTCATGGAGGTCGCTCGTACCTCCTTGGTCCACGCGGCGGCTCCCCATTTTCTGTGGCCGTTTGCTGTCCGGTACGCCGCGCATCAGCTCAACCTCTGGCCCCGTGTCTCCTTGCCGGAGACCTCGCCCACACTGCGTTGGACGGGGAGGTTGGCGATGCGTCGCGCTTCCGGGTGTGGGGTGCTCGTGCCCTTGTCCGCGATACGTCCGCGGACAAGCTCTCCTCCCGCACGCTTCCCTGTGTCTTCCTTGGCTTTGTCCCTGACGCGCCGGGCTGGCAGTTTTACCACCCCACCTCGCGCCGGGTCTTCGCCTCTCAGGACGTCACCTTTGACGAGTCGGTCCCTTTTTACCGTCTCTTCCCCTACCGTACTGCCCCCCTCCCTCCCCCGCCGCTTTTCCTTGCTCCTGGTCCCCCTCCGGTAGACCCCCTTCCCCCTCAGGGTCCTGCTCCTTCAGGTGTCTCTCAGGTAGACCCTCCTCCCGTCGCTGAGCCTGTCGAGGTCACAGGTGACTCAGGTGCTGCTGCAGGTGGTGCTGCTGGGAGTGCTGAGCCTGCGGGTGCTGGGCCTGGGGGTGCTGGGACTACGGGTGCTGGAGCTGAGGGTACTGTGCCTGAGAGTTCGGAGCCTTGGGGTGCTGAGCCTGGGGGTGCTGCGACTGGGGGTGCTGAGCCGGCGTGTGCGGAGTCTGGGGGTGCTGAGTCTGGGGGTGCTGCGCCTGCGGGTACTGAGCCTGGGGGTGCTGCTACTGAGCCTACGGAGCCTCGGGTTGCTGCGTCTGGGGGTGCTCCGGTTCGGGGTGCTGAGCAGTCTCTCACACCACAGCAGCTTCGTGACTGGTACGTCCGGCGCTTTCGCCGTCCTAGTGGCTCGGCTGGAGCTGGGGGTACTGGAGCTGCCGGGACTGGTTGTTCTGGGAGCACTACGACTGGAGCTGCTGGAGCTGGGGACTCTGGAGCTGGCGGCGCTAGCGGAGTTGTAGCTGCCGACTCTGGGGGTGCTCTTCCTTGCGGTGCTGCGGACCCTGGGGGTGGTGCTGCTGCTGGTGCTGCGGACCCACCTGGTGGAGCTGCTGCTGGAGCTGAGGACCCGGGCGGTGGCGCTGCTGCTGGTGCTGGGGGACCCGGACGCTAGAGTCTATTCTGCTTCTGGAGACGCTGCGCGGCCGCGGCCGTACTTCGTACCGCTCCTTCAGCAGGTTCTTGGGCAGGCTCCTCCTCCTTGTCCTCCTCCCTCCGTAGAGTGTCCTCCGACTGTCCAGCCGCAGTCACAGTTACCGCCTGCCTCGCCTCTCCCTGCTCCCTCTCCTTACACTGGTCCCACAGGAGGTCTTACAGAGCGTCGTGAGCCTGAGTCTCGTCCTGCGTCGCCTGTCCGTACTGCTCGCACTGGTCGTCGTGTCCCACGTGAGCGTCCTCCTCCTGTCCCAGGCACTCACTTCATGACTCTGCGTCCCTCTACTGCTCCTCAGCGTGTCCCTCTGCCGTCTCCTCCTGCGTCCTCTTTGCCTGCTGTTCCGGACCCTGAGTCTGACCGGTATCGTGCTGAGCACCCTACTGTCACGCGTCTCCTAGCTACTGTTGTCACTGACCCTACCTTTGAGTCCTCGGCTGCGTCTGCTCTGGTCGCTGAGTTGGTTGACTTTGCTGCTGCCTGTCGTCTAGACTACGCTGCTCGCCTTGTTGCTGGGTCTGAGTCTGCGTTTGTCTGTCCTCCGTCCGTCGGGGGTGAGTGTGCTCTTGGCACGGACGTCCTTGAGGACAGGCAGGAGGACTTTGACTCTCTCGCGGCTGCTGTACCTCATCTCGTGGCCTGGTTGCTTGCCCCTGAGGGAGACCCGGATGCACTAGACATCCCTACTCCGCGCACTTACGCAGAGGCGATCTCGGGTCCCTACTCCTCTCAGTGGCAGACAGCCATGGACGCAGAGATGGCATCCTGGAAGTCCACAGGCACCTACGTCGACGAGGTTCCCCCTCCTGGGGCGAACATCGTCGATGGCATGTGGATTTTCAGGGTGAAGCGGCCGCCAGGTTCTCCGCCTGTCTTCAAGGCTCGTTACGTTGCTAGAGGCTTCAGTCAGCGTCAGGGGGTCGACTTCTTCCAGACCTTCTCCCCACCCCGAAGATGACCACTCTTCGGGTTCTGCTGCACGTTGCTGCTCAGCGTGACTATGAGCTTCACTCTCTTGACTTCAGCACAGCGTTCCTGCAGGGCAGCCTGCACGAGAAGATCTGGCTGCGCCGCCCACCTGGCTTTACTGGGTCGTTCTCTCCTGGTACCCAGTGGAGCCTCCGCCGGCCAGTCTACGGTCTCCGCCAGGCGCCACGCGAGTGGCACGACACACTGAGGACTACACTTGCGGCTCTTGGGTTCGCGCCGTCTACTGCTGACCCGTCGCTGTTTCTGCGCACAGACACGTCGCTGCCGCCGTTCTACATTCTCGTGTACGTCGACGACTTGGTCTTTGCTACTGCTGACACTGAGGCACTCGCTCGTGTGAAGTCGGAGCTGCAGAAGAGACACACCTGCACTGACCTGGGTGAGCTGCGTAGCTACCTTGGCTTGCAGATTACCCGGGACAGAGCTCGCCGCACCATCATCCTGACTCAGTCACACATGGTGCAGCAGGTCTTCAGCGTTCGGCTCCAGGCTTCTCCTCACCACAGGCCACACCTCTGGCTACCAGCCACTCGCTCTCAGCTCCACCTCCGGACGAGTCCGTAGAGCCGAGTGGCCCGTATCCAGAGCTTGTGGGCTGCCTCATGTACCTGATGACTTGCACGCGACCTGACCTCGCGTACCCTCTTAGCATCCTTGCTCGTTACGTTGCGCCTGGGAGACACAGGCGAGAGAGCACTGGGAGGCTGCTGCTAAGAGGGTGCTGCGCTACTTGTGCAGTACATCAGGCATGGGCTGTGTGCTTGGAGGACGCGACAGAGTTGTCCTCACTGGCCACTCGGACGCTCTTGGGTGGCGACCTGGCTACCCAGCGGTCGTCACAGGGTTACACCTTCAGCCTTGGCTCTGGTTCTGTCTCGTGGCGGTCCACCCGCTCTTCCTCTGTTCTCGGCTCTAGTTGTGAGGCTGAGATCTACGCCACAGCCATGGCTGCCCAGGAGTTACGCTGGCTCACCTACCTGCTGACTGACTTGGGAGAGCGGCCTAGTTCTCCTCCAGTTCTGTACGGTGACAACAAGGCGGCCCTTTGCTTGTGTCAGGAGCACAGACTGGAGCACAGGACGAAGCACATTGCTCTTCGCTACTTTCTTGCTCGAGAGCTGCAGCAGCGAGGTCAGCTTCGGCTTGTGTACGTGGACTCGAAGGCCAACACTGCTGATATCTTCACCAAGGCGCTCCCGCCTAGTGATCATCAGCGGCACTGTACTTCCTTAGGCCTTGTGTCCACATTCCCTCATTTGCTTACTGCTTGACTTTCTTTGTACTGTCCTTTATATATATCTCGTTGCTTGCTTGCTAGGTCTTGATCACTGTGTTGCTTGTCTTGTACTATATCTAGCACTGCATGTGAACTGGCCTTGTGGCCTTTGCTTGTGCTCGGAGTGTGGTGACGTTGTGATCCACCCTGGGCTTGCTTTGCTTTGCTAGACTGGTCTTGTGACCCTTTGTCTCCCCCACTTTGCCTATGGGGGTGTGTTAAACTGTGTTATGTTGGTAGGCTGTAGTGGGGTAGCCAGTATGGGGTACAACCCCAACTAGGGTTTGCTACTTGTACCCAATTCTTTCATTCAATCACACATTCTTGCTTAGTCCTGTGACAGAAGCTCATAATTGTTCCTCAGTATTTACGTGGGTAGACTTGATTTTTTCTTACCAATAAGAACGTTTACATGAGTAGTTGTAGGTTTTATTTCTATGTTACAGTTCTAGAATGTTTGTTGATGTATTATTTGAACGTTATTTCAAATTTCGGGTGCTGACGTCAGCTTCGTCTCGGTGGACTTCATCAGCGTAGCTAATTCGCGCGAAATTTCGAACTTCGCTGCTGACGTCAGCTTCGAAATTTCGCAAAATTTCGAAAGTCGCTGCTGACGTCAGACATAAATTTCGCGCGAGAGAAAAACTGCTGCTACGTCCGCAGCGTCGCCCCAAATCAAATCGAGCGTTCGCTGCTGTTTTTCTCGCGCGTGAAATGTGGAGGGGGGAGGGGGGGGAG